GCTGCTGAGGCTGTAGCACTGGTGCAGGCTGGCAGCCCTGACAGTGTTGTGTGGCTCTGGCTGGTTGGCACCACTGTGTTCCTCGGACTCATGTTGGTAGTGGTGATCTCCATCTGTTTGTCTCAGAGAGCCTCTTACCAACGACAGCTTAAAGCTGCCACCATCACTGCTTTTGGTGAGAATTTCCTCAAAATCATAATTCTACACAAGAAACAACAAAATAGCTTTCAGCAATGACCTTTGAATGAAGTGTGTTCATTATGGTTTTGATCCTTATGGTTAATTTTTAAGTTTAGAACCAGTTACTGACAACTAAAACCAGGAACTTGTGACGGTACTCTAGGAATTATTTATTTTGATATTTGATTCAAACAATATTAATTTGTCCTATGATTCTAAAAATAGATTATACCTTAATGATTGCAAAACATAAAGGTTTTTACATAAAAAGAAGTAGTACCTATTGAGTGTTGTGAAATTCTAAAATAAGGTTCCAGTTATGTTTAAATCAGTGTCATCACTCCTCATTTGAACTATTCTTAAATGAATCCCTATTAATAACCATTTATTGTAAGTTAAAATATTGTTGTTGTTGTTATTATATTACCAATTCAATTGGCAACATTACAGGATATACTAGGGGACCATAGCAGCAATCGCTGCTTTTTAGTATACGTAAACAAATTGAAATTAAATACACATGTTTTACACATTTAGTCACGGTCTTCCCCTTACACGATGCATTTCAACAGTGCATTACCATTCTAAACTAAAATCAGTAAACAGTACACTAAAATGAATAAACATACAATTGCATTGTTTACATCAGCTGGTATATTTTAAACAGCTTAAAGAAACACTGTAGCTCTACTTCCTTCTGCTTCTTTCTGTAGCTCTATTAGAAAATGACTGGATCTTTGACGGCCTGTGGGGCAGAGCAGGGGTAATTTTTGACATTTTTTTTTTTTAATTTTCCCCACCGTCCTTAGACCTTAAGCTTTAAAATGAATCCTCAACAGCCATGCTAAATTTTTCCTAGCTTGAGATATTTCGTGGGGACCGATTTGTTTACGGAATCAAATATATAGATTTTACAGTAAATACAAATGAAGGATGTATTACCGCATAAAACCAGCTTTTTCTTTACTTTAGCCCATTTATGGTCTAATAATCCATGAAAGCATGTTCAGTCATCAAAATATTATTCTTATTTACTTCTTTAAAAATGTTCATAAGTTCCAATGGGTCACCCTTTTTCTATGTCACTTTTGTATTTTACAATGTAATTTTTATTGTAGGTTCGACAGAGTCTGACATGACCCGGGTGACTGGGTCTGGGCCGGGTCGGCTACCCAACACTAACATGCACAGTGTCGAGGGGTCAAACCCAATCTGGATGCAGGCCTACGAGAATGAGTGGTACAAGGAGGACGACTCAATGAGGTAATTATTTAGTAATCTGCATTATATTGTAAAAACAATTTTTTATCCCTACCCTCCAAGTTAAACCTAATCATTATTTGGTGTCTATGCAGAAACAATGTTTTTCAAAGATTTCTTAAGAAGACATGGCAAACATGAAAAAAAACTGAAAAAAATCAGTAAAACAGTGTTATCACACAAAAAGAAAAGTAATGGAAAGAAGAGTGGATACATACTTTAATACTTTTCAATGAAATGGCGACCATACAAAGTAGGTACTGTAAGTATGAATGGAGATGAGTGTAGGATGCGTGGAGCAATCATGTAGTCTTGTTAGTGACTAAGGCCAACGTATTCCTTAGGCACAGCTGTTAATTAATAGCCCATACAGCTAATGGCAACTAAGGGACCTACAGTTTATAGTGGAATCCGAACCATATCTTAAGGTTACATAAAGTGCTTATAGCAGTAACTGGTGTCTCGTCAATTATATAAAGATAATTTATAAAGAAAAAAAGAATGGAAAGAAGAGTGGACAGAAAATCACACAGGATACAAGAGAGGTTTTCAGGAAAAAAACTAATGAGGAAAATTATGGATGGTTTTGTTTTAGTGCTCTCATAAAGGAAACAATACATAGATAATAAAATAATAGTCAAATATAATACATATAAATTATTCAATTACACCTTTGACAAATACAGTACCAAGAAGTAGAATCTAATTCCCGCCCTAATGACCAGTTTAAGAATATAAAACTTTCTTCAATTCTGATGTTGAAAACATGTGTGGTAGAAGGAGCTTGGAGGTAATCGTAAACATTTTCACAATGTTCAAAATTTTTTAATTTTTTAGGAGGACTATATAGTCATTCATCACCCTCTCTTGAGATGGTGACCAATGTTAGGGGTAAATTGCATGCAAATCCTGGTATGAATCGCAATGATCTAGGCCAGCTGGTCTCTTTCAATCTCACCGATCGTACACAATTTTTACTAATAATTTGAGTTATAACGTTTTGTTTTTAAAATGAAAGGCATATATAGTAGTTTTTTGTTCCAGTCAAACGTCTGAAAGAGACTCTCTGGATGAAAACGCAGTTGTGAGTGTGCAAACACAAGATGGCGGAGCAAACTCTTCTTGCAACAGGTGAGTTGTGTTGTGCGTAGAGTTATAAACACTCCTAGAATAGACTATAAAAACAATTGAAAAATTGTAATTAATTATTTACCTGAAGAATTTCAAATTAAAACAGCACTATACCATATATTAAACGCACTTATTCATAGATCTGCCATTTTATGGAGCAGTGGAAAACAATTTCAGTGAGATGATAACTGGACATACATCAAAACCAAGGCAGCAATGTCTTGAATTTGGAATCCCGGTGTTAGGAATTAAAATTTATCAGTAGGCCTACAGTTCATTCTTGTACTATACCGGCTCACCCCTTGCTTTGTGTTATAAGTTCCAAACACAAGCTTTCAAGTCCTGTGTATACAGGCAAATACAAGGTTAAAATAATCAAAAAGGTTAAATAAATACCTGTTGTACTGTCAATGATGCGAGTTTTAGTCGACGACCAAAGTTTCGAATCTAAAAGGATCATGATCAAGCACTTACATGAACACAAAAACATTTTGTAAGTGTAAAATGTATTTGATGAATTTTCAAAACTCCAGGTATAAAAAGGATTTTTCCAACTTGAATATGATCCTTAAGGCTTGAAGTTTTGGTCGCCGACAAATAATTGGTCGCCGACAAATAAGTATGTGTCTGCCAGATACAAATATAGATGTCAACAGTGTTTGTTTAGATGTTAACTAATAATTTATGTTCCTCAATTTCAAAACAATTTTAATCAATAAATAAACTAACTGTTTAGCTTGTCTTCTGGTATTATAACCATAGAGTAGAACTCATACTGTACAGTTTTCATTCAAACAAAGCACAATCCAACAAAGCAAACATGAAACAGGCCAAAAATAGGCCTACTTCACAATGTACAAAAGAAGCAGAAATCTTCTTACAGTATAAAAAATATTTTATTGTACTAGACATTTAACTACTGTTAAGTGATACTATATATAATGAATTTTATGAAGGACAAGTGTATGGTGTAAGCCAGTAAAGTAAATTTCTTATACATTTCTCAAGCTTATTCAAACAAATTGTTTCAGCCAAACCAACATAATAAAACCTGAGCGAAGGACAGTAAAGGAACAGAATGACCTGAACAGCAAAAGCAGTTCCTATCATCAGAACCTGTACCAGCATCTCGACAAGCTCAGCAACCCTCTGATTGCCAAAAAACTGGAAACAACAGAACTATAAAAATTAGTTTTTGTAAATGTAAATCTTTCTCTTGATCTCTCTTTAGTTTCAACCAACTTTTTACAATCAGTAAAATTAACTAACAGCTATACACCACAGTACAACATGTCAAAATCGATTCAAAAGTAAACTTATTTTTGGTTGGTATAAATAAACAGCGTAATAGGAGATATCAGTGAAGGAGAACCGATACACAACAATCTCATTTGAGGACAGAATTTAAGGCAGTTGATTGCACACAAAAGGTTCACAGCATAACATGGTTATAAAACTGGCACTTGTTTGCTCTCAATTAATTGCCTGGAAGTATTTTCATGAGTGAGTTGGTTTTCTTCATCCTCATGTATGCCTATGCCAAATGTATTTTCCTAAAATAACTAATAAGGCATAAGAACTGTAATAGTTAATAGTTTATATTTCCTTTTTTAAAAAGTTTGGATTAAATTTATTTAGTATGTTGTGTGATTCTTTTATATATAGTTACTATACAGCTGGTTTGTAAATTATCTAGTAACAACGAATGAAGTACTTAAATAAGAATTGATTTTACAATTTTTATGTATCTCTTTTACTTGCCAATCGATGTATTTTTGTACAATTTATTTAATTAATACTAAAGTATAATGTAAATATAGTTTTTAAAATATTCAAATAATATTTATTTATGTTTCCTACCTACATCCCAATAATAAATCTCTTGAACCAACTAAGTATTGTTGTTGACATAAATCAATTTATTGAAAGCTAGTGTACATTTATGTTTGTTTTCATTCTACGCAATTGTTGAATCAATTTAATCTTTACATAAGATGTGCAAATTTGACTACAGTGTAGGTGATTAGATCAACACAGAGCATTGCCAGTGAGTAGCATTGGAAAGATAATGAATATTCGTCTATGGGTTAGTGTTGGTGTAATGCTCATGACAGGTGCATCAGTGTTTAGTTCCAATACTGAACATCTGTTTTTGCAGTTGTTTAAGTACCTGGTACTCGCTCAGTATATACACTAGAAATTAGTTTATTTTGCTTCCATAATTTGTTTCTTCTCTCAAAATGTGCTCTTGATAAAGTTATTGTGATTTAACAGTGAAAGTAAGTTTTTTAGGGGTTACTCATGCATATGCAAGTCTCAAAGGATTTATTTATTTAACACTAAGGATGGGAGGTATATATTTTATAATTTACAATTGTCTTCCCCTCGTATTATGTGATTTATCTCTTCTCTTGCTACACACCAATGACATGCATTCTAGATACGAACAGGTGGATCGAAACATGGGCAAGTGTAAGGCAAACGAGAAAGACTTTTGCTACGGAGGTTTTGCGAGGATTCATGAGATGGTAAAACACTTCAAGATAGAAGCTCAAGCTGTGGGAAGGTCAACTCTCTTTGTCAATGCTGGAGACACTTTCACAGGAACCCCTTACTACACTCAGTTTAAAGGGGAGCTTGCAGCAAAAATGATGAATACTCTAGACATTGATGTGATGACTTTAGGCAACCACGAGTTTGATGATGGAATCCAGCCTCTGGCTTCTTACATCGATAAAGTAAATATTCCTGTAGTCTGTAGCAACCTGGATCTGTCTCAAGAGCCGAAGCTTCAAACACCTAAAATAACTTCGTCAATAACACTCACAGTGAATGGTACCAAAGTAGGAATTGTAGGTTGTCTTACCACCACAACAGTCAACAATCATAACCTCGGCGGTGTGAAGATTTTGGATGAAATGTCAAGCATTAGAAAAGAAGTAAGTAAGTTGAAGGATGAAGGTGTAAATGTTATCATAGCATTAAGCCATTCAGGATATGATGTAGATTTGAAAATCGCAAAATTAGTCGAAGATATTGATGTAATTGTCGGTGGACACACCCATACTTTTTTGTACTCGGGGAAAAAAATTCCGGAGCTAGAAGAACCTAGTGGACCTTATCCAACAGTGGTGACGCAAGAATCGGGTAAACAAGTTCTTGTGGTTCAAGCTTACTTTGGAACTAAGTACTTAGGGTATCTGGAGTTAAATTTTAATAGCGAAGGTGAGCTCAAGTCTTTCAACGGCTCTCCAATTCTCCTTATAGGACTTTTTCCACAAGATCCTGATATACTGCGAGTGTTAGAACCTTACAAGGAGAGGTTGGAAGGAAAGACAAATAAAATCATCGGCTACACTCATGTCTTCCTCGATAGTAATAACTACAAGTGTAAAGTATCAGAGTGTGAGCTTGGTAACTTGATCACGGACGCTTTTGCTGACTACATGGAGATGCGTTGTCCTTCCCTGCCAGTATCAGTGGGATTGATGAATGCTGGAGGAATCAGAAGTTCCTTTGATCCAATATCTGGAGGACACAACGGATCAATCACTTTAGGAGATGTTATGACAGTGTTACCCTGGGGAAAACCGATAGTTGCAGTTAACTTGACGGGACGAGTACTCTTACAAGTGCTGGAACATGCTGTATCTAGGTTTGACGAAATCAAAACATCAAATGTTCATAACTTTTTACAAGTTTCTGGACTTCGGGTCACTTACGATCTGTCTAGAGAAGTCGGCCATCAGGTAACTAATGTTAAAGTACTTTGTAGAAACTGCACAATTCCATGGTTTAAACCGCTACAGCTAGAGACAACTTATGGAGTAGTTGTACCAGAACATTTGGTAAAGGGAGGGGAGAACTTCACCATGTTGGCTAACATCACTAAAGAATGTGTGTCAGAAGAAGTTGATTATACGATTGTGGCTAAATACATAGAACATTTTAGCCCTGTCAATCCGCGAATAGAAAAACGTATTGAAATGGAACAAGGAGAAATGGATGAATCTATTTTAATAATTTTATGTTACATCATGATAGTTCTTCTGGTGATTTTCATTTTCAAAGAGACTTTATTCACACCAGTATATAGATTTTTTCGAAGAAAGTCGAATGAAAAACCAACAATGACTCCTAATGAGACTGAAGAATATTCAAGACTTATTACCTAGTAAAAAACCTTTATACCATAATATATGTAACCAGAAAATAAAATCCTGAAAATACCGTAGATTCCTTAAACTTATAAATTTTCAAATTTTGTACCAATTTAACAATTATTACACAACAATTAGATTTATTAACCCTTAAGTACTCGTGTGGGGTGTTCAGAGACCCTCAATGGCCCCTAAATTTTGTGTTGCTAGCTAGCCTACATCTACAATTTTGCGCTGCTCAGTACCTTCAGATGGCAATGTCTCATATCTCAAAAGGCCAGTCACTGGCAGTTTCTTCAATGTATAGTGTGTGTGTGTGTGCATTGGGGTGCCAACAGACCCCCGTGCGATTACTAGTGTTTTATCATCTGATTTTTTTAAACATGTGTTTGGTTATAGTGTAAAGTTAAAAACAATAATTTTATCTAAAGTTTATTTATTTCAAACTAGAGAGGTCGTCCTGTGGTTGAAAACTCAACCAAAAATATGTAATGTACAGACTTCTATATTTTCACCCCACGCTGTAAATAAAGCATGCGATGGGAATTCTTCGATTTGTTTTGATTTTATGTTTATATTTCTTCACCAGCGTAGCAATACATAATACCAATGTTAAATTTTTAAAATTTAAAATTCATTTTTTGTGCTTATTTTAGTTTATAAAGGGTTTCTGCACACCTACACGAAAATATCTTTCTAACAGTATGCGTAGATTTTCCCTACGAGGCACACAAGCTGAAAAAAAGGTTTTAAAGAAACATGCTTGCCTATTAATATATACTAGTGTACATGTTGCTCAAATTCAAGCAATTGCAAAGTATTAAAATTACAGGAGTTATTTCAAAACGAATAACAGTTATATTTATAATGGGTTTAAAAGAGATTACCGGTGTGTAACTAAGACCATGTTTATCCTTGTTATTGATAAACCTAAAGCATTTCGACCGGTTTTCTCCTTCTCAAAATGCCTCGCTGTACAGGCAACACAGGTCATTGATAGAGGGCCAATTGAGAATGAAAAGTCGTTTTGGGGTAATGAGGGCAGGGCGCATTTGTAACCTAATAGTTGAGATTGTCCAGGGTCAGGTGCTGACTGTGATGAGTTAAGCCTATTGCACACCACTGTTCTGTAGCTACGATCGTTATCACAACTACGCCTCTTGACTATGTTTCGTTGTCGTTGCGTCGGAGGCATTTAAAAGAAAAAAAAACAATAAATAAACAAATTATAGCTACACAAAACAACGATAAATGCACAAATTTAGGTTACAATCATACTAACACGATCCGTCATAGCGACACAAAACAACGATAAATACACAAATTTAAGATACAACCTTACTAACACGATCCGTCTTGGGGGTTACGTTTATACAAACTCAAATAGTAAATAAATGCACTCAATAGGTGTCATTGTATTGAAAAATAAATAACAGCAATTAAATTATACAGCTGATCAAAATGTAAACAATTATGTTCTTCATAAGGATAACATGGGAACTTTCAAAGCCACAGGTAAAAATGTAAGGCCAGTTTGCAAATCTACGCGACACGCTCTTTCCAATGAGACGTCAATGGATAAAATCGGTTAAGAAATGGCGAAGGAGTTCAACCGACAAAGTTTCATGTAGCGTATTAAATATATAGATATATTAATCTATATAATATATATAATTAATCTATATGTAGCGTATTAATTATATAGATTAATATATCTATATATTTAATACGCTAGGCATATTTTTGTCATAATTATTGTTTTGAAGCTGCTATGCATCCGTTTACAAAGTTTGAGGTGTCGTTGGATAGGGTGTGGCACGTAGATTTGCCATCTATCAAAAAATCTTTAAAATTCCATCAGGGCTCTGCCCCAGTGGCCTTCAAAGTTACCATGTCATGTTTTTTTTTTAACAATAATTGGCGTTTCACTGTAAAACATATCATTAGGGTTCAGTGAATTTTAAAGTGAACTGACAGTACAGCAGTTACACATAATTGTTGTGACTTTTAAGATCTTTGTTTTACAGAAACTAAATAAAAGGATTATATTTAATGAGTGGAGAATATCAATATCCAAGGAACAATATATTTTATGTAATAGTATCTATTGCAAGAGATGGCATATACATTCTTCTGTATTTATGATAAGTGTACAAGAATAATGATCTAAAGTTATTGTTATTGATATTAGTTATAAACATGTTTTTCACCTCCAAAAAGAATATTTGATTTTAATTATATCGGAAGTTAGGAAGGGTGGGTCCCAAAGATTCTGGAAAACACCATTATTGTGTTAAACAGGAATCTTGATATGTCGTCAGGCTTGATTAAGGAAGGTAAAGAAAAAACTTTTAAAAACACGTGGAGGAAATGTACAATAAAATGAAAGGAGTCTTCATGAAATTATCAGGACATGCCAGAGAAAATAGAAGCATGACTGTGAAACATTTGATGACGCTTAACAAAGGGTGTTAAGCCATCAATGTTTTACGAATGCAAGTTCTAGGGTAAGGATGTTAGGATTGAAAAGTTTTAAACTAAACATTTGAGTATGCAAAGAAGAGTTTTCATGGCAAATAAGTCCCAGACTTCAACCAGAGGTGGTGGTGAAAACGAGGGGGTTTCCTAGAAAGAAAGAAGATTTATCACGGGACCTGGCAAATAAGTCCCAGACTTCAGCCAAAGGTGTTGGTGGGAACGCGAGGGTTTGGTTTCTCATTTAGGTTATCATCAATTAATCAAAAGAGAATCTTCTACTGACTTTCACAAAAGAAACTGCAAAAACGGCAGGTAAACTGCAAACTCAATTAGGCCTTTTACCATCACCAGCTTTTGCAACAAAACCAAGAAACGAGAAACGCCAAATAAAAAAATCAATACAAATCCTTCTTCTCCTTCGTCTAAATTGCGCGCCAGGTTCTCTAGTTGCCTATTAATAGATAGATGGAGTCAGAATAAAGACAGTCAGCTAGAATCTGATGTGTCTGAAACACATGAAGAGGATTGCAAGGGCTGTTTGCAGCCAGAGCAAGTTCAATCAAACTAGTATGTAAAAAGAATTATTTTTTAAATATTTTCAAACAGGTTTTTATTTTGAAAGTTTTTACCAGTAAATATATTAGCCTATTAGTTCATAATACATATGTTTGGGGTGTGAAATTTTGTGTCTGGCTGGCATTTTTTGATACCTGAAAAGTAGTTTATTTACCTCATAAATCTGTGGTAACTTTCGATAAGTATAATAAGCTAATTACTGAAAGAAAACGTTTGTAAAATACTTATTTATGTTAGGTTATTCCTCCTAATTGAGATTGAAGAGGACAATTGTTTTTTCTCAGATATTATTATCACTTTTTGTACTTTTTCTACTTAACTGATTGTTTCATCTAAAAAATGAGTACCTAAATAAATAATTTTTAAAAATTACTAATAAAGAGTAAAACTGGTTAAATTTAATAAAATACTGTAAAAAATATATCGATAGTCATGTTTAATTTTCTTAATCATAACATAGAAAAAAATATATATAGATAAATATATATACCTGTGGTTACCATAGGTTCTGGCGCACACCACTGGTAGCGCGGTGTAGTTACTTAGTGCGTAAGGCCATAACTACATAGCACTCCTAGTGGTGTGCGCCAGAACCTATGGTAACCGCAGCACAGCTGACGGTCTATATTTAATTCTTTTTGTCTATGATCATAACGAGATACTTTTAATTTAAAAAATATAAATATTTATAAATGGGGGTCCGACAGACCACCGTTTTATCACAAAAAAGGGCACGAGAACTTAAGGGTTAAAAACTTAGTATTTTGTTATTACTCTTTAGTCTTTAACACGTTCGCTGCTGATCGCTAGATGCCGGGATGGCGCCAGGAGCTGAACTAACGCTCGGCCGCTGCGTGACATTGCCGCCGATACACTGAATTACAGTAAAAACAACAGTAGTTATACTGGATGGCAATGTTCTGCAATAAAACTGGCTTTAGACATAGTACTTAGTGATTCTGATAGATAGCAGCACTACCCAGGTTACAGTTGGTAAAGTATAGTGTCGCTATCTAGCAGGAAAGAGGTGAAACAAAGCCCTGTTCCAAACAACCCTGGTGGTGATTTTGAAAAACTATATTTTTTATTGTCAGAAAAGTACGTCACCACGAGCTGCAAAGAAATATAGGTAGGACGCTTGTGACGAGCTGGCTTATCCATAGCAACGTTAAACAACAATGAATGGTGACGTTCCGGAACGTTCCTAGCTCCTGGCGCCGTGGCCCGGCTGACGTTCCAGAACGTCTGTAGCAGTGAACGTGTTAAAATAAAATACTACAATACTTTTACACTGCCAAAAATATTATTTCATCATCAATCATGGGATGAACACATCATAAATATTAGTAGGATAAATATGAATTTGAAGGGATGGTGTTTTTAGCCTCTAGGGACATCAAAATAAAAAAGTAAATCGATCCTAGGTCCAGAGGTCTTACCATAAGACCTAGGGTAAAAGCTTATTGGGAAATTCACTAAAACCCATGGGAAAAAGTATTGTCACTAAATCTGAAGTTCTCTTCAGTATTTCTATAATTTACAATAACCCATTGAAATACTGAAAATCTCATATGAAGCTGTTGCAAGTCTATACACCCCCTGAAAAATGTGATAAGAAAAAAAACATCATAAAATTATTATAAAAAATGTTTTACTCTTCCATTAAAAATATTTTTTTCTTTCATTAAGATAACAAAAACATTAAAACAAAAATATTGATACATTTGTTAAAACTATTCTGTACATAAATTATTCTGTACATAAAATGTTCTGTACATAAATGATTTTTCCAATCAACATAGAATCATTAAAAGTAACTAAAAAATTGTTAAAACAATTAAAATTCTTTACGATAAGTGCTAGTGTCATTGTTTCTGATTAACAAAAACATACAAACCTCGAGTTTGAATTTACAATCAGCACCTAAACTTAAATGATAAGCTGTGGTTATACTTGCCCTGGTTACACTTACCCCAATTATTAAAAGTAATTCACAGGTTAACCTCAATTCGTCTTTGACTAGGATAAAGGACTCAATTTGTTATTTAAATTTAATTAGAACGAAGTAGTAATAGGACTAATGCTAATCGAAATCCAATAAGTAATGACAAGAGTGGACAAACTGGCTGCAAACGCATCAAATATAGCTGAAGCTGAAATAAAGTGTGTTTTATATTTCCTTTGTGGTAAAAAAAGTAGGTACTCCTAATACTCATATTTAGTAGCTCCTAATGAAATAATTTGCCCCTGACCTTTAATAATAATGTTACCTTTTATATTATATTCATGCCACATTTAAACGACAAAGGAATTTTTCCTCGAGTAAAATTTAAACCATAATTTACACACTGTATTTTTACACTCATAGTAATTACGTTTTGATTCACCGAACATTCTTTATTTGTGCGTTATTACTTTGGGCTGCTATATATTATATAATAGTAGTACTGTAACATTTTTTACTACTATGTATTGACGAATTAAGGTTAGTAGTTTTGACATTCTATTTAAATAAAAATAACATAAATAAACAGTGATAAAATAATAAACATTTAACAAACTGGTGCAACATTGATTAAGATACATATTAATATGATCAAAGTAACAAACATAATAATCTGAGATTACACATCATTTTTAAACATTAAAACTATTATAGGTACTCATACTCTTATTGATAAACATTTTCAACCAAAGTCTTTACTTAGTTATTCTTAGAAGATTTTCGACCTGCGAAATCGTGATGTAGTTTGACTACTTATTCTGAGTCGGAGGACAGGAGGGAATGTCTGGTGATGTTTGATTGGACAGCATCCAAGTTGATGCAGTCAGATTCAGTCTTCTCATATGTGTTGTTCTTGTGGTGATTTGAATCTAACAGTCTTCGTTTATGTCTCATTTTCTTGTGATGTTTTTTACGTCTGTTGAAAGGTTTGAAACTGTCATCAGAGGAAGACTCCGTTTGAATGTTGTGCTTCTTCTTGTGTGAGATGAGCTGTGACTGCCTTGTGAACACATCATTACACTCATTACAATAGTAAAAAGTGACTGTGTTTCTCTCAAGGTCTTCCAGGTGATGTTGTGGAGAGGTCTCTATTGGCCTATAAACATATATTTTCACCATCAACACAAGATATTTACCATAGTATTTTTAATGGTTTACACACATCACATAAAAAATCCTTGAAAACACGGGAGGTAAAATTAGCAAATGGTGTAGTATGGATTTAAAATCACTAATGGGTTATTTTTTCCTTTTTTTATCAAAACTTCCACTGAGTGATATAACAGTACAAGCCAGTCTTGAACTAGCAATGTCTGGCTTTTTAGCCCAAGCCAATACCACAGCGCCCCTATGTTCGGATTCACATGTAATCCTCTGCTGAATACCTAGATAACAGGGATAGAAGATGATTGTCTATGTGTATAACTGCCAAATTGACATGTTGAATTGTTTTATAAAAATTTTCAAATTGCTATGTATATTTGATTGTTGAATAAGATATGTAGCATAGTGACGCAAGTTGTTCTGAAAAGCTGGTGTACCAGAGAAACGCTTAATAAAGACATTTTTATTATTTATGATGAAGAGGCTGACAAGCAGCTAAACACAACCTAAGCTTTAGGACTCAAAGGTCCATAGCATTTTAATGGAATCTTTCACCACCTACTTCTGCATTTCCAGGTATGCAAGCTCAATGTAAAAAAAGAAACAGAATTCTTACAACTTTAAAATTACTTTTTAATTCTTACATGATTAGGCTTCCGCATCTTTGGTTAAGCAAGCTACTGTCTCAGATAGTTTACATGAAATATTTTGTGGTTAGACAGGAGGAAACTCAAAAAGATCACATGCCTTGGTTACTAGATGTAACATCTTATGAGCACTTGAGAACAATAGGCATGAAAATGAGCAGCATTAAATGAGGTTTAGGCAGTTTTAGGAGACTGCACATCATCTTCTGTTTAACTGCGAGGAGCTAACATGTTTTATCTATGAGCTAACTGAGGCGAGGAAAATCGCCAGTATAACCACTTATGAAGGATGCTGCAGTTTATCAGGCACCTCAGGCACATGTTCTGAGGCAAGTGGGTTGTGTAAAGAGCCAACAAAGTGACTAAGCATACAGTTTAATTCTGCACAATCAATCAAAGGTCATCATCTATCGTGGTTAACTTCAATAAGTTATCAAGATCACCCTTTGTTAAAATGTGTACGAATGTAAATGAAACAATATTTTATTGATTTTAGTTTGCATTTACGACGAGTATTATATGTTGCATATTAAAAATAGTGAGACTAGGTCTTATAATAACCAAATAACACGGGAACCATTCTTAGCCTGTTTGTAGAGATAAATGATGTGCAAAATTATTGTTTTGCGATTTAGTTAACAAATCATTATTAAAATGGTGCAGTATAAAAATTTTTTTTTCATCACATAAGTCACAAATTCTTTTCTACTTGAGCTTATTTTCAGACTGAGACAAAGGTGGCTAAACTAGTGCTTGTATAGAAACCAGTCCCTTCAGACCCTAGTTTTTGGAATAGGCCTATACTACTATGCACACGTCATAAGAGAATTAAAAGCATTGATGTAGTTTAAACCAGGATAAAATACAAAATGACACCGGCAATATTGTATGCAAGAGCCATAACATAGAATTTCTTTGCTTTTAGATCACTAATGTCTCAATTTCACAGCAATCTAAAAGCCATAATTTAGCCTTAAATGGACATTTTCTGAGATAGCTGCCCTTGGAGTGTTTTTAAATTGCAATATAGTTTTATAGTCATATTATCTACATTTCCAGTAAGCCCTGCCTTTCTTGGGCCATATTCCCAATTTAGTTATTTATTGTGTGTTACAGTGATAACTAGTTTTGACCTATATCAATTTTGGTATAGTTATAGTTAGGGATGGGTCAATTCCAAAAATCGATTCTTGATTTTGGAATCAGGAGCTCAAAGAATCGACCGCTCAAAGTCGATTCTGATACCGATTCCCTGAATCTTCTGCGAAGATCCAGGTGTAGATCTCTGAATGTTGTTCCGCGCAATCAGAAAATAAAACCTAATGCCACTATTGCAGAAAACAATGATGATGTTCCATTACCGCGTGAGTTATTCAGGGTTTTGTTGTAACCGCAGGAGACAATAACAATGTATACACAACCGTTGGAAATGATAAAAAATTTTGCCATGACATTGAAAGACGATGATAATGTTTCCGTGACCGTGGGAGACGAGAATGATGTCTACATGGTGGCGGAAAATGATTTAAATTTTGCCACCATTGTGGAAGATGATGATGACATTTCTGTGACAATGGGAGACGAGGATGATATCTACAAGACCGCAGAGAATTATTGAAATTTTGCTGCAATCGGAGAAGGCAATGATGTTTCTGATACTGTGGGGCATATTCAGGATTTTGCCGTGACCACGGGAGACAATGACGATGTCCAAACAACCATGGGTAGTGATCAAAATCCAGCCGCAAACGCGGAAGTCGACAATAATATCTATATGGCCACGGGAGATGTTCATGATTTGGCCGCAATCGTGGAATACAATGATTGAGTTCTGTTACTGCAGGGGTTTGTCGAGACAGCGGAGACAATGTCAATGTCCACACGGCCGCAGGAAATTATCAGAATTTTGTCATGATCGCAAAGAGGATGATGTTCCGTGGGCTATTTAGTGTTTTGCTGTGATCGCGGGAGACAATGACGATGTCTACATGACCGTCGGAAAGGTTTTAACATAATGGAATTTCAAAGAATCAAAATCGGACCCATCACTAGATTTAGTATTATAGCTCAACCTAACTTTATCTGAACAATATGAGATCGACAGTGGAGGTACTATTTAAAGTTATAGCCTTCTTTAACTGAAAATAAATATTTTTGGCTTGACCCCCTAGTAAATAAGAATTACTTTTAAAACACTTGTTTGATCTGAATAACCTCCAATAGTCAATGGTATATATAACCAGTGCTCAATGATTTGTGCGGGAATGGGGTACCTCTCTTTCGGTAAAAAAATATGGGCATAAATAGGTACAAATCACATTAAATAGGTTACAGTTCCGGCACTCCATTTATTACAAATCGAGCGCTGGGTATAACCCTATAACCAAAAACCTATGACATATTTTGCACCCTAATTTAGTGAATACACCAACGACAAACTGTGTTAAAAAATAAAACTTCTTTTTAAGCAGAAAAACTAAAATCCAAACCAAATATTCTAACAAATAAAATTTTAGTTGAATGTAACTCATCATCATATTATGTTTAGGCAATTATTTCCTACATATTTTAACTTGTATGATTGAATAAATTGGATTAATATAAGATTTTTTCAGGAGTGAAATTAATAAAACAAAACAAGTTATAAAATAAACATACAAATAACTTTTATTTACATACTTTAAATGGTGTAAAAAAGTATTACAAAGAGGTATGACTAAAACAAAATAGGACATATACATACCTACATTTAAAGACACAATATTTATGAATTTCAAAATCCATCACTAGAGCATATGAGGGGGTACCCAAAAATAACTGGAATAATGTTGCGATGGGCAAAACTTACATAGTAAAACTTAGATAGGTGTGTATAGCACAACTTTATGCCAGTTTAAGTAGGTACCACTGCTACTGTTGAGCTGGCTGGTTTTGTTTGTCTATAGTGACAGTTTTTGTTGGCACCAACTTTCAGTTTTTTTTATGACAAGTAAAATTGAACAATATGCAGCTGTGAGGTTTGGTTTTCTACTAGTTAAAAAAAGTTGCTAAAACTATAAAAATGACACTATGGGGAAAACTAGTGTATGAGTGGTTTACTCGTAAAAAAATGGAGTGGTTTGTGGTCCATTGTACGCAAACCTCGTCCTGGACATCCATCAACAAAAAAATGACAATAATAGGGAACAAATTTGGGATCTAGGTCAATAAATAGATCAATTAGCTAGCAGAGATAACTGGATTATCTTGGAGATCAGTTCAATGAATTTCAAAAGAAGATTAGGGAATGAGAAAGGGTTGCTGCCAAGTTTGTTCTTCAGGATCTGGATGACAATAAAATAATAAAAAAACAGCAAGTGGAAACTTGTCAAGCTTTGAAACAACAGCTTCATACTGGCCTAAATTTTCTGTCAAAGACAATTATTACTGGTTATAAGTAGAGGTGCTATGGTTGGAATAGGACCCAGAAACAAAGCAACAGTGTAAATAATTTGTAAGTATAGGCCTACAAGTTTTTTTTTATTCCCGGTTTTTTCGGGGTACTCCCTCGTCCCTCCTACATTGACTCTTTTGAAAACAAGTGCAAGTAGATATAATGGCCCATGTGATGATCTCTACCTTTTTATAATACTGCAACATTTTTTGAAGTTAACAAAATGCACCAATTTACAACAACATAGTCAAAGGAATAAATATAAAAGTTTAAATGACATTCGCTCTAACCTAGGCTATAACCTTGCCTAATGCAATAAAAATTCAAACTTCAAATTGCTTTAATATTTTAACTTTTCAATTAGTCTAAATATTGACCAAAGTGTTGTGAAAATATAATTTAGTATTACCTAAACTGTAGAGAAATTAGAAATGACACAATGATACCACAGGTAAATTTTAATAACAAGCCTATATGATGATTTATTTAATAACAGAAACTGATTTATCAGTTAATAGTGGCCAAAGTCAAAATTGAGACAAAACTGATAATAAACAGCCAACATCTTTGATTCTAGTTGAATCTGTTCACCATAAATTTACTTTTTCTGCATATTTTGAAAACAGCCGTTCACAGCAGTATGACAAAATAACTATTATTCAAAACCCGTGCTTACATAATAGTCTATCCTAATTTAAATAACTCTTTCAAACGTAACTTTCATCATTTGGCTTTGATTGGAATACAGTAGAACCTTCGTTTAAACAAAAACCCTTTTAAAAGATATACTGATTAGATTAACTAAATGTGTCGTAGACAAAAAAAAAGAGAAAGAGGAAGGGTGGTAGAGGATTCAGGATTAAGTTTAGCTGCTAAAAAAGCAAACTACAAACACGCTACCTTCTTGTAAGATTTTAAACATCTAAAACTGATTTCCAACCTCTACCTGCAAGATGGAAACAGACACCAGCTAACCTGTTACTAGCGGAGGCAAGATATTATTTCTAGAAAATGAATTTGAAAATTAAAAATTAATCTACATGTAAATATTTGTACATGAGGTCTAAGTTTTAGTTATTGAAAGTGTTGTATCAATTTAACATGTGCTTTAGTTATGTTATTATGTTCACTTTCAATGGAAGAAACCGCCTTAATTTTAAATTAAGATTTAAATCATCCAAAATGACCTCCCTTCCCCTAATTAAGGTTACAAGAGGTTCTACTGTAATTCTAAATATAAAAAAATAATAAAAATGGGTTTATTAAAAATCCTACGCTAAAATCTTTTACACAGTATGATTGTCAGGTCTGACGTAAGAGGCTTGCTTACCTCTCCTCTCGGACTGGACTTTGACTTTGGTTGCCACATCTGTGTTTGGTAACGGCTTGTGGATTAAGGAACGTTGTACCACATCTCTCACAGGTATAAATATTGCCCACGCGAGGTAGTTTGGTGGTCAAGATATATTTTGGTAAAGCTATATTGTCAGTATTATCAGTATTGTCATCCGTCAGTATTCCCTTTTCAACACTCCGGTCACTTTTGGGGCTGTTGACAGTGCAGGAGCTATTTTCAACGATATTGTTCAATGACTTATTCTTCATACTTTCAACCAGAGATTGATGGAGGGGATCATTTTCGTTGTTCAAGTTTTGATAAGCTTCTTCATTAGTTGAAAAGACTTCTGCAATCCTGCAAGGTTTACGGCTTCTTTTCTTCCTTTTTTTCGTTTCCCATAAGGATTTGGATTTAGTTCTTTTACGTTTGTTTAGAGTCTTGTTTGACTCTTCATCTCCCGTATTTTCACTACCTGCGCCGCTGAAAAAATAGCATCGTATTGACAATAGAAATAACAATTTGTTATATAGAATCAAATCAATTAATTGAGACAAAAATTAATACTTCAATACTTTTAATTGAAATGGAGACCATACAAAGTAGGTATTTTAAGCCAAGTATGAATGGAGATGAGTGTAGGATGAATGGCACAATCTTGTAATCTTGTTATTGACTAAGGCCGACATATTCCTTAGACTCAGCTGTTAATTAATAGCCAATACAGCTAATGGCAACTAAGGGACCTGCAGTTTATAGTGGAATCCGAACTACATTTTAACTGGTCTCTTCAATTATTTAAAAGATAATTTACTTAATAAATTACATCCTTCTTCCTCTATCACAAGCAAGCTGCTAAATACAAAGGATAAAAAATAAAAATTTAGGCTAAACTGAAGAAAAATACAATATAGCCTATACCTACTCGATTTTCTTTGACAGTAAAAAAAAAAACAAAAAAAATTAACATAATACGTTGCGGGAAACTAATGATGATTTAAGTAACCTTATGAATATTTTTACCTCTGTCTCAAACGACATTATATACAGTCTATTCGGAAATGTCGGATATTTCACGGATAGTATCAGATAATCAAATTAGGGCTCGGTTTGGTTACGGATATCCTAATCGAACCGAAACCGACCCAAAATTTTGGATATCCGCGCACACCTCTAGTATTTGTTCAAATTGTTATATATGTATGCTGACCCCTTCAAAGCTTACTTGGTAGAATCATCATTGGGAGAGTCATCAATCACAATTGCATAATCTTCATCACCTTCTCCATTTAACTGAATGGTTTTGTCTGCTTGAGGAGCCACTACATTCACTAGATGGTTAGGGACTGTCACCATTGGAGGAACCATGACAGGCTTGCGGGTCACCTGAAAAGGTAATGGTTTATAAATGTTATCAATGGATATTCGTAGGAAGGATACAACAGTCCTCCTGTAAAAAGGTGCTTAGGTTGTTTTATAACACAAAATAAAATAATGAAGAACAAAACTAGTAGCCCTTTTTAATGTGAAACGTCAAAGGATACCTATGTTGTAGGAACAGAATAGTTTGAACTTTTTTAATATAAATATTTGGTCCATGTTTTCTCTAGAGTTAAAACAAATTTAATAGAAAAATGTTTGTAACCAAACTAGCATATACTTCTGTACTCCATAACTGGTCTAAAGAGAGCAGTATAAACATGCCTTACAACAACAAAGCTCAGACTTACTCTAACCCTTCTGACGAGAAATCCGAGAATGCACGATATTTTGCAGATAATGAAGTTAATATGTGCACCAGGAGAGAGTTCAGAAGAGGAAATGACATCCAGATAACAAATGGAATTTACATGAGATAGAGTAGTTGTGTTGTCTAACAAGCAGTCAGAAAGGCCAGTTTTTTCAGGACAGTAAAAGGAGAGAGCGGCCCATATCTGCCTAACTATAATCCATCTTCAGGCTGTTCAGAGAGCAGAGCACCTGAGTCAAGGCGACTAAGACATTTAGAAGCAGAAGAGTTTGTTGTTGTTATCATCAAATCAAATTGAATTTATGAGTGTCTGTTAGTAATAAATTGGTTATTGTTTTTGGCTATAGTTTATTAACCATTTGTTTTAGTCAATCTCTTAGTCCTGCATTAGCCTTTTTACAGTTATTAATCTAAAATACATTATTACAGTAACCATTAATAATTTAAGTTTGACCTATCCCCAATAGTTTGTGTACTATAGCATATATTTATACTGGTGATGGGCAGATCCAATAAAATGTCGGTACCGGATCCGGATCTTTTTCCTGTAGATGTGCAGAATCCCTTTATAAATTAGAATAGGCTCAAAAATAAGCACAAAAAATGAATTTGAAAACTTAAAAAATTAACATGGATCTTATGGGCTGCCATGGTGGCGAGGAAATAACAACAAAATGTATACAGAAAATCAAAACAAATGGAAGAAATTCCAATCACATGTTTGATTTACAGTGTGGAGATAAAATAGAGAAGTCTGTACATTAATTATTTTTGGTAGAGTTTTCGACCACTGGACGACCTCTAGTAACAATTTAAATCATACCGTTTAAAATTAAATTGGTAGGCCTAATGTTTAAAGGTTTATATATCTTATATATAGAATAATCTCCAGTTGAGCCCAAAATCCCTCATTTTTGGGGGACACTAAATATTTTCGAAATCAAAAAATGAAACATTGTGCTAAGTTCGCACGACCACCAAAAGGGCATCTGTGTATATTTTACTATCCTTCGATCTTGCTTGAGTATGCTATATCGTGGTTTTTTTTTGCATGCAGCATCCAATTTTTTTATGCCTGGATCACCTCTTGCTAATCTCTTCCTTCAATTCGTTCTAGGTCGACAGTTCTGATAGCCCCGGGTATGTGAAGTTCTACAGGTGAAATACTCTGCGTCTGTGTACAAGAAGACTATTGTGCCCCAACTGTGTTCTAACTTATCAAATATTAGATGGGGTGTCTTGACTTTTTATTCACCCTGTATGGACACAGATAATCTTCTTGTACACAGACACAGGGTATTTTACCTGTAGAACTTCACATACCTGGATATCATTACTGTGGACCTTGAAAAAATTTAAGGAAGAGATTAGCAAGAGGTGATCCAGGCATAAATAAATTGGATACTGCATGCAAAAACCACGATATAGCATACTCAAGATCGAAGGATAGTAAAATTAGACCAGTGCCTGACAGCTTATTAGCTTGCAAAAGGGTAAAAGCTTCAGACTCTAGTATTGGTGAGAGAGCTGCCGCCTGAGCAGTTACTAACATAATGAAAACTAAAGCGAAATTTGGTTGGGGAAAAGGGCAGACTTCAAAAGTTAAAAAACAAATAAGAAAGAAAAAACTTTTTTGGAAAAAGAAAAAAATCCTAAATGTGCCTGCCTGCAAGATGAAAAATAAAAGTGGTAAGCGGTTTTATTTAAGACCTTATACCGGATCTGGTAGTAAAAGTAAAAAAATGTACTCATAGGAAATAATTGAAAGAAGAAAAACCATTAAGTAGTTTGGATTTAATAAAACTTGTTGCTGATTTAAAGTTGCCTTATTTTCTTGTACATAGACTCATATAGTCTTCTTGTACACCTACACAGATAGTCTTGTACATGGATGGATACAGACAGCTTTTTGTTAGTAAAAGAATCGTACATTGTATATGGATATAGACAGCTTTTTGTTAGTAAAAAATCAAATTGTACATGGATACAGACAGCTTTTTGGTAGTAAAAAAATCGGGAAAATCGGATTCATCAAAACCGGATCCAGCCTAAGATCCGGAATTTTTTTGGATCCGATCGGGTGCCGGCAGATCCGGTAGTCTGATATCTGGATCCGACCATCACTAATTTATACTTAACTGTCCTTTTTGCTTCTTGTAAATGTTACCAATCAGCCATTATGAGGTTTTGTACTTCATTCATTCGTTGTGTAAAAATGAAGATGTCCTTTGGAATGAATAAATAAATAACAAAAATACAACTGCCGCAGCAAACCTGCAGGCTAAGTGAATTTCCATTTGCCTGATTTGATTGTCAATTAAATCTATTTCAATAACATTAGGTTTAACGAGTTCCTAGGTTTGCTACTATAGGGAGGGTAGGCCTAATAAAGCGTGTTTTTTGTAAAACAATAGCTTAGTAAAAAATAAATAGATTTGCTAAGATTGATCAAAATATATCAAAAAACAACCACCACACCAAAACAGTTTACTTATTCTTCATAAAATAACATGGGAATTTAAAATTTAATTTTTTTAGATTTTTCTGTAACCAGTAGGCCTACTGAAACCGTACAAAAAAACTTTCATATACTAAATTATTTGTTTTTTGAGCTCTTTGGAGTGGTCTAGAGGGAAATTGAGAAATTTTATGTTTTGAGTGTCCAAAAGAAAAACCAATTTCCTCCACGCTAAACCCCGTTTCCCTATGGTCCGATCATTCAAATAAACGTAGGTTTACAAGTTTGTACAAAATTTCATCAAAATCGGATCATTTATTTGTTTTGAGTTATCGTGCTAACGGATACATAGATAAATATATAGGAATTTGAACGGGTGGTGTTTTGGCCTCTAGATCTCAAAATGAAAAAGTAAATCGGCCTCGGGTACAGGTCTTACCATGAGACCTACAGTAATAGCTTATTCCCTATATGAGAAATTTGCTAAAAGAGATGGTAAAGTGGATGTCAACGGCAAAAATCAGACTTTTTATTCAGGTGGTCCACAATGTCCTATACCTAATTTAGAAAAAGGTGAAATGGACAGGACCCAAGTGTAATCCTTGTGGAAGGAACCCTAGGGACGTAGGCTAAAATAAATATTCTTATTCATATTTTATTGTAGCCTGGCAATTACACCTTTTTCTTTGTATATTAATATTCAGCTTTGTAAAAACATGTAATTTTTTCTTTTCAGGTCCATAGTTTAGTTTTAGTTTAATCACAATTTAATGTGCCTCATGAATAGGACTGAAGATTATTTTGACTGCTTGGATGACAATGTTTTGTTAGTACTATATCGAAACATGTTTTGGCAAGTTACTACTGTTTAAAACATGCCAAGATGGAAGTTAACGGTAGAATAAATGATGAAACATACCTTTTTGCCTTTTAGCCAAGGAACCTTGTTCCTTAGCATTTCTTGAGTTTTACTTGAATTGATGTAAAATTCATAAAACTGCTCAACCTTGTATGAACAGTGGTGACAAATTTGTTTAGGGAATGAATCGTGTTCCAGCACCTAAAAAAATCAAAGAAATCATGAGATAAAACTAAAAAAAAGTTGACGTATTTTATAAAGAATATAATATAACTAAAAAATGTTACTTGAGGTCAATTTTCGCTAGGCCCAAATTAGTTAGGTAAGCCTAACTAAAGTAAATTTCTTGACCACGGACACATTGGATTTTTAAATAATTTTTGTACAAAGCCTACTTATATAATATTATAAATGAGAAAGTTTGGATGTATGGATGTATGTATGTTTGTGACAAGTATACACGAAAAATACTGGTCGGATTGGGCTGAAATTTGGCATGATGATAGCTCACATTCCCGATTAACATATAGGCATATTCTTATCTCAAAAATCCTTCTGGGCTCCGCCCCAGTGGCTCTGCAGTTCCCCATGTTAACTTTATGAGTGTATTCATATTTAAAGGCAATTAAAGAATTTAGCCAGCTGTTTCAACTAAAAGAGTGGGTTCTATGATATGCAAAACCATTAAAAATTTATAAGATTTAGCGTACCAACAGGGTGCAGCACTATTATTTTTTTCATTTTATGAAAACAGCTAATTTGAACTAAGCAGCAACAAAAAACTGTGATACACAATGAGAACTGTCAAAGTAGGATTGTTTACAGTTATGTTTATGTTTTTAATTTCATGAATAATTTATGATATTTTCAAATTTTTAATAATCTATCTTTCTCTATTTTGTAGGTGAAGTACGGTAGTAGAACATTATGGCTACGTTAGATGTGTAATACTATCGCATACCCTAAATTTGAGGAAGCAAATTTTCTCAAACCGTGTTTTCTCACATCGCAAACGCAAAGATCGGGTATAACTGCAATACCGTAAGCATTTGATACTTTTTTGGACTGTACGAAGGACGGGTACTCTGCTAGTACTTAATATAAACTTAAGACCTAAAATGCATAGTGCACTCAAAATACATAAGGAGAAATCATTGTTACGTAAGGTTACGACATCTAGGGGACCCGTGGCAATCAGAGTTTGTCAATACAACAAAAAAATCTGTGGGAAATTATTTAAAGTGGAAAAAGACCTCAAAAGTGTGGTGCACTCACCTAAAAACCAGTAAAAATCTGTTCAAACCTAACCTTCTGCAAATATTCTTTTTGATGTCAGAAAAGGCATGTAAGGATTGGTAGGTAGTTCTTTATGCAAATTCGTCATTACACTACTTAAATCCTTTGAAGGTAGGTTAGGTAAGGTTTAAGTTTAGGTCAACAGTCAAGAGATAACATTTAAACTAACAAATCAGTTAATTATAACCTAAACTTTACAAGCCTAATCCAACCCACCTTCAAAGAACTTACTGTAATGCGGTCTCGAATTTGCATAAAGAATTACCTAATAATCCTTACATGCCTGAATAAGGACTATAGTCAGCCAAATCCATTTATATTATTAACACGGCAAAATTTATTTTAACGGGAACATTATTGACTAAGAATCATGTTAGAAGCTAAGACTAATTACTGTAATCAACATTTGGCTACCTATCCTCTTCTCATAACCTCTTCAAGTTTATGTACCTCATCACCACTATTTGGTATACCATTTGTGTTACCATAATACCATTTGTATTAGCGGCATAGTGAAAGAGTAAAGTGACGCCATATTAGGCCCAACGCCTACTGTCGATGACAACCCTCCATAAAAAATGTATATTTGATCAGCTAACTTAGTACTTAATATTAATTTGTGTTACAAATGATGGTTGACCATATTACGATTTAGGAGGTCATGTCATAAATTAAGAAAATTATATATAAAAATTAAAAATTTTCACAAAGGCACCTATATTATATATCCCTCCGAGTGTCCATAGTTTAGGCCTTAATGTCCACCTATTTTTGGCCCCTTTGCAAGGTTTTATTAAAACGGATCTGAGAAGCTTAAAACAATGTCAATTCTAATGTTCTATATACCATTTTGTTTGGAAAATCATGGGCTTCAATATTATATATAAAACATAAGGAACATTTTTTCAAAAAAAAAATTTTTAGGTAAAAAAAAAATATAATTTCGAAAATTTTCAAAAAAAAAATAAGTTCGCGCTCAATGAAATTGTATAAATTATAGGCCTATAAATATTTGAAAATAGCCACTTTGTTCTAAATTTAATGAGGATTACAAATATATAATCATATAGCGAGGTAAGTTATCAAATAAATAAGTTATGAGCGAAAAACGGATTTCAGTACATAGCGTTTAGCTAAGAATGCATAGCCTAACCATAGCTAGGAATCTGGCTGATAATTTACATCAATATCACTACCTACTTCTTCAGGATCATCAACCAGCACTTCAAAACCACTTAAATCTTCTTATAATGCACCACGTATATCACTACTTTTGATTTTTAACACTAAAACAATGATAAACGTAATAAAACACATCAGTCATCGGTCCGGGGGAACCTAGCTGTTTACAAATACACGCACGTCAGCTGTCTGCTACAATATTTTCGGAACTAAAATGAATAGCGCTTAGAGACAGACCTCTGGAGAAAGCTTAGAATATTACGGAAAGAACGATACCTAACTCGATCCAGTTCAATCTGATACAGTCAGTCATAGAGCCTTCGCCGTAAACGATGTTTGTGCGTCTTAAAAGTGACGCGTGACCCTACACAAAGTGTGTTGTGCGTCGTTTTTATGACGCGTGTCGGAGGGATATATATATAGGTAGGCTAATAATAACCTCATATGCTAATAGGCTTCTGGTAATTTAGATGAATTCTCACCTAGGTTGTGTAAGTAAAATGACGTTTTGCAATTGAGCAAACATTCCGCCCACATTACTCAGGACATAAGATAGACGAAAATTAACTATATTTATAATCTGTAGAGGTGTGCGAACAACAGCGGCTTGATTATCGAGCCTAGCTCGAGATTTAGAAGACCGAGATATTGAGCACAAAGTCGAGAAAATCAAGCTATATTATAAAACGCGTCCGCAAAGTTCACACACTCAAAAAATTCATGCTTTTGTCGCCGATTGCTGAAGACTAATTTGACATTTTTATGACCATGGGAGACAACGATAATGTCTACAAACTGCGGAAGGTGTCCAGGCTTTTGCTGCGATCGCGGAAGACTATGATGACGTTTTCATGACTGTGGGAGGCAACGATTATTATGTTGGATAACTTTATAAGAAGTTATTATTTTAGTGAGGCCCTTAATTCAATTGTCACTTCAGTTTAATATGATTCACCAAGTACTGCATTTTTCAGTACGTAGGCCTAAAGCTTCTTCACTTCAGGCAATAACTTTTGTCACTGCAGAATACTCTGCACCATTGTTCTAACAGGTAAAAATCTAGTTTCCAATGATATAAGTTATACATTACAGTTTACTAACTTCTAGGCCTAGGTTCCCACTGGTCATATTATTAGGCTATGGATAACTTAATTACCATGATATTATTCTGATATAATGCATGTTCTCTGCGGAACGGCTAAATTTAGTAGGCTTCTAGGTATGTCGATGCAAGTAGCCTAAGCCAAGTGGGCCAGAGGCCTATTTCAAGCTAGGAATAGCCTACCATCTTTGGTCAAGTTAGTAGCTTAGGTAAACAACAAGCAAAGAGTACCTAGGTACCCTATGCTGTAAATTAGGCCTAAAACACACCAAAACAGCCACAATGAGAGTGGCAAGCACTGATAGCTTCCTCAACAAACTTTAAAATGTTCTGCTTCATATACCGGTACCGTAGTAAAACTTAAAGCAAAATTGTCATCTTCGGTGACACAAATTTTAATATTCTGAGGGCTGACGACACGGAACTACGCGTAAAAGAACTCAACGACTTATTACTTCAACATAGATGCTATGCCTATTCCCTTTCAGCCACACGAATCACGCCTACTACAGTCAGTAGCATTGACGGGTTCTACACAAATATCCAAAGAGCAAATATCAAGGTAAATACGCATAACAACATGATATCAGACCATCACCTCCAAACCTGTGAAATTAATAGTTATTATAAATTGGAATACTCTGGAGCTACATACAAATCTATATGAAGCTATTCAAATCAAAATTTAAATAGACTAAAAAAAAATTGCACAAGATTGATTGGAGCGGTATGAGAAGGGAAACAACAATAGACAACACCTACAACAATTTTCTAACAACTTTTCAACTTATTATTGATGAAACCATGCCTAAGACAACGACAATACTATTTAATAGTAGGCCTACAGTATTTGGAATGACCACACCTACACCCTAAGAGGCAATCTACAAGAGGCGCAGGATAGATAGCCTACCAACTCACTGGTCTGATCCAGGATAAAGTAAATTTTTTACAGCACAAGGCAGCACATGATCGTGATATCATAAATAACAGAAAAATGCACAATCAAAACTGAATGCGTAAAGCTGATATAATAAGAGCAAAGAAATCTGGAATATCATTAATACAGAACGCAATAAAACAACTGCAAGAAAAAGCAACATCGCCCTATATATTAACAATGAAACCATTTCCGAACATTACCACATCTGTAATATTTTTAACAATACCTTTGCGGTACAACTATCAAATTCCAGTCAACATTCTAAAAAAAACTTTTTTTTTTCAATATGTTCGTTTTTTAGTGCTGATTCCAAATATGATATTAATTTTTTGCGGAAACGTCCCGTTTTCCCGGAAACTGGGAAAAATCTTTTTTTGCTCATAAGCCATGTTGTGGGTACCGGTACTCAAATTGTGCGGAATTTCCTCCTGAACAAGAATATGTAATATTAAGTAAAATATTGCCGGAAAAGCGGCCGCTGGCTACTTATATACCACCGCATAGCACTAGCATTGCGGGTGACTCTAAGCCATTGTAGAATGCGGGCTTTATTTTGGGTTAGGATTGGTTAGGTTAGGTTAAGTTAAGATTGGTTAGGTTAGGTTGGTTTAGGTTAGGTTCAGTTAGTTTAGGTTAGGTTCAGTTTGGTTAGGTTAGGTTGAGTTTGGTTTGGCTAGGTTAGATTAGGTTAGTTTATCAATAACATGAGTATTGTAAGTAAACGAACCTAAAATTGTGGAATGCGGGCTTTATTTTAGGTTAGGTTTGGTAACATTAGGTTCGTTTACTTACAATAACTTACTCATGTTATTGATAAACTAAACTAACCTAACCAATCCTAACCTAAAATAACTTAAAGCACGCATTCCACAATTTTTGGTTTGTTTACTTACAATAACTTACTCATGTTACTTACCCAAAACCTAACCTAAAATAACTTAAAGCACGCATTCCACAATTTTTGGTTTGTTTACTTACAATAACTTACTCATGTTACTTACCCAAAACCTAACCTAAAAAAACTTAACCTAACCTAACTTAACCTAAACTAATTAATCCTAACCCAAAATAAAGCCTGCATTCTACAATGGCTTAGAGTTACCCTCAATGCTAGCGCTATGCGGCTGCTTTTCCGGTGATATTTGACTTTATAGTAATAAACATTACATATTCTTATTCAGGAGAAAATTCCGCACAATTTGAGTACCCACAACATGGCTTTTGAGCAAAAAAAGATTTTTCCCGTTTTTCCTATTTTCTGGGAAAACGGGACGTTTCCGCAAAAAATTAATCATAATTTTTGGAATCAGCACTAAAAAACGAAAGTTTTGGAAAAAAATATTTTTTTTAGAACGTTGACTAGTTTTACCCAATTTGCCCTCTCCACTCCAAACCTGGATAGAACTTCAGATACAAATGCCTGACCACACCAACGAAATACCAGCATTGCATACCTTTAATTCCATAACTGAAAAGAACTGGACAATCTTTCAAGAGCCTAAAGGCAAATAACTCATCAGGCTTTGACACAATAACAGGAAAAATGTTGAAATTTTGCCAGGAAGAATTAAGGAAACCAATTAGATAGGCCTAGCCTATATAATAAATGAGTAAATATTACAGGCCAAAATTCCCCCCAAAAAAAACTCAAAATTGCTAAAACTCATCCGATATATAAGAAAGGTGAAGCTAGAGACCCTTAAACAAATATAAGCCAATTCCTAATCTGCGGGTTATCTCCAAACTCCTAGCAGCAATATACAATCAAATTATTACGCACCTGGACTCCATCAACCTCCTCTCCGTATGCCAACATGGCTTCAGGAAGACCCTCAGCACCACTAGGCCTACTGCAATCTCAAAATTAGTCACTCACATCACCGATATCTGGGAAGAAAGAAAAATGCCTCTGGAATCTTCCTTGATCTACAGAAAGCATTCAACACTCTTGATTGGGATATCCTCAGAACTAAATTAATCAGCATGTAAGTTAGATATCCAACTCAAGGCAAATCCCTAGAATGGATAACAGTTATCTGACAGTCAGATGCCAATATGTAGAAATTGAAAGTCAACACCATAACACCATTTACACCACTAAATCATCTCTTAGAACAACATCAAGAGGAATTCCCCAAGGATCCATATTGGGCCCCTTCCTCTTCATCATATAGGTACCGGTACATAAACAGCCTCCCCTTTAGTTTTGACAGTGACCTAAAATGTACCTATACTTTTTGCCGACGACACCACTGTTGTTGTTCCAACAAATCGTCAAGCAGACAATATTAATTTAATAAAATCAACAATTGATCAAGCAACAACAGCCTGTGAAAATATAAACCTCATTATCAATAAGAACAAAACCGTAGGGTACATAACTTATCAACTTCCGAATAAATAATAACAACAAAAGTACAGATGATTGGTCCGGACTGATCATTCCCACAAACTCAACAAAATTCCTCCGCTGATCAAAAGCCAACAACATCTTAGCCTAGGTTCCCACTGGTCATATTATTAGGCTAAGTATGGATAACTTAATTGCCATGATATTATTCTGATATAATGCATGTTCTCTGCGGAACGTTTGGAGTTTGAGGTGTTGTGGCGCCTTAAAAAATCTATTGCTGGCTGTTTTGTGGAAAAATATGTCCGCGATACATGTCGCGCGCATTACTTATTGCTGATTTTACCCCCCCCCCCCTAACTTACTCGCCAGGTACATGATGTTGATACTGTCGTGTCCGTTAAAGTGTCCTCTATCTGTAGACATGATCGGTAATATGTTTCGTGGCCGTATTTTTCCACAAAACGGCCAGCAATAGATTTTTTATGGCGCCTGCACTAGTTATTGCCAGGTTCACACCAATTTGGTTAGTTAGGTAAGGTTAACCTAACCTAACTAACTAAACGATTGGATTGAATTATCAATATTAGGCCTAGGCTACTCATCCGGTTGTTTGTGCCAACAGATATGGAAGTGTACCCCCTATCAATGCTCATCCCTAGCCTATGCTAAGTTAATGACAAGCAGTCATCTGATTTAAGTTAGAGATAGCTTAACTTTAGCTAGGCCTACTTCTATTCAAAATAGGCCACAGGCTGGCAACTTGTATTTAACTTAGGGGTGCCTATTCTCTTAACTGCCAAGTCTATGGATGGCTTTTTACACATATCAAAAATTCTTAAAGTAAACTCACAGTAACAGGCAAAACGTTGTTGATCTTCTTTGCACGATCAGATCCATGTTCAAAAATGTCTACTTTGATCCCTTCTTCGGACCCGCAAAGCCTGCATAAATGTTCCATTTTTTATAATAAGAATTCAATCCCCGCCACTCTTAGTAGGCTTAGACAATAATTTATTTGGTACTAACTTAAGTAAACATTACAGCTTCCAGCCCTTCAAACCTTTTTACTTTGATCCTAATTTAAACTGTTATCTAGGCTAGTTTTGGAAAATTAAACTAGGCCTTGGCCTAGGCCTATCATATTAAAAAACGGACACTGCAGATTCTTTAAAACACCGGTTCAATATTAGGCTGCCCATGCCCACATCATCACAATACATTGTTATTTTACACTAATACTAATAATATTCCTAATTAAACATTCAACCATTTAGGCTATTAGGCTGTTATAGTGTTCTACAATTGCGCCAGCGCCAGCGCCATTCCGCCATTATCCTATCACACTTCACACTAATCACACTATCAAACTAGTAAAAAAAAATAGAGATGGTCGTTATTTAACGTAATAGGATAAGTAACCATATTACTGAAATGTAACTGTTACGACCATAATAGGTTACATCAGACTCCCTATTATTTTTGGAACTTGTAACGTAACGTGCTCGGGCACTCTTAACTTGCTCGGAACGTGCACTGCAGTTACAAAAATACGTTACTGTCAACTGTCACTGTGTACTCTGTAACTCTTTGCTGGTTCGGAACGGGCACCGCAGTTACACAGTGAAGTGACACTGGCTGTCTGGGTCTGAGTGACAGTAACGCCATTGTATAACTTCGTTTCGTTACCGAAGACCGAAGTTAAAGGCCAGAATGGAGTGACCGAGTACGTTAGTACGTTACAGAACTGACTAATACAGGCAGGATGTATGAGTATGGTATGACATTACAATTAAACGTAACATTATACTATTCATTATTGTATAGTATTCAAAAAGTATCATTGGTTTTTTATCTTAACACTTTATAATATCTTATACTAATCAGTTTTCAAATAATTTTGTTGTTCCAGTTTCCAAGATGAAGGCGGATGTAAATATTGTGTAAATAGTAATATAAATAAATAAATGTATTAATACGAGGCATGTTTTTTAAGTTTCTCTGTTCCAGCGCTGTGATTGGCATTTTTTAAATTTGTGCTGTGTATGTGTATCTATTAGCAAGCCTGCGCCAGAAATTTGGCAACAATCGGCCGTGTGTACATCCGATTTTGAGCATTCAAAATGGTGCCGCCAATTGAGACTGCCACCGACTGTGAAGTGCGCGCTGTAATTCGATTTTTAAGTGCTAAAGGTGTGAAAGCCATTTAAATTAATCGACAGACTAATAAAGTGTATGGTTAGAACATAATGAGTGACAGAATGGTACACAAGTGGGTAAGGGCATTTAAAGACGGCCGCACCAACGTCCATGATGAGCGGCCACTGGGTGGCCATCTGTCATTACTGATGTGGTGCGTAAAGTCGATAAAAAGTGAGAGAGAGCAGTCGGTTTACCATCTCATCATTATCTAAGGAGTTTACTTTACTCATAATGTTCTCGCCATACACTTCACTAATCTGACAATGAATTTTAATGGGTTTCACACCTTTAGCACTTAAAAATCTAATTACAGCGCGCACTTCACAGTCGGCGGCAGTCTCAATTGGTGGCGCCATTTTGAATGCTCGAAACCGGATGTAAACATGGCCGATTTTTACCAAATTTTTCGTGTGGGCTTGCCAATAGATGCACATACACAGCACAAATGTCCAAAATTCCAATCGCAGCGCTGCAACGGATAAATTTAAAAACGGTACTTACTTAAAAAACATGCCTCGTAGCAGTATAACGTACCTATATTTGGATTAGAAGAAATGGATTTCATTCGTTTCATTCATTTCGTTCACTTCGTTCATTTCGTTCATTCCGTTCATTTCGTTAATTTCGTCCATTTCGTCCATTTCGTTCATTTCTTTCATTTCGTTCATTTCGTTCATTTCGTTCATTTCGTTCACTTCGTTCATTTCGTTCATTTCGTTCACTTCGTCACTTCGTTCACTTCATTCATGTCGTTCATGTCGTTCATTTCGTGCATTTCGTTCACTTCGTTCATTTCGTTCATTTCGTTAATTTCATTTCATGACTGCGGCCTGTCGTCTGCTACATCATAGCATAAAGAGACTGAATCCAAATAGCCTCAAATCTCATTTTGTATGCTTTTAAGAGGCATAATTGTAAGGCAGCGGATTTGATAGGAAAATGGTTTTGTAATTGAGGTATTCTTCTCGGCCAGATGTCCATCAGGCCTAACTTAACTTTCGGGTTTATTAACTTATTGCTGAACATTCACAGAAAACGTTTATTAATGTATACAGTAAATCGATGATATGCTTCATCTTAAACATTCAAACTTTACATGAATATATAAATATGTATATTATAGATACTATACTTATTTTATCAATATATATTATGAATCCATTTTATATATTAAAAACCTATATTTAATTGATATTTTGCATTGCTATTTGGTAATATTTTAAATATATATTTGAATGTATCAAACTATTATTAAAGATATATTATTTATACATTTTATTCAAGGTTATATCAAATACAACTTTGAATATTTTAAATTTGTATAACATACATATTTGTGCTACTAAGGTATTACTCACTAAACAATGCTAAATGGTCAAAATGTGTATAATTTCATTCTATTTATTGTAGTTAGATGAATTAACATAAGCCTTGAAAGTAACCGTCGATTTAGACGGGTTTCGCCTACTAATAAATATATCTGATTTGTAGAACAACTCATATTAATAATTTCATTAAAACTAAAAGGCCTACATCCTAATGTTCAGTGGCAAGAAAAATTATTATCCTAAAGTAGTTTGACAGATCTTTTAAAAGTAGTTAGATTGCTCATTTAATTAAAATTAGAAAAGAAAATTATCCCTTTAAAGCCAGTTTATCAAACTAACTACTTCGATATCTCCACCCACAACTTCATACAATGCTGGTTAATTTAATATCAGTGCTGATAGAATGAGTTTGAATTGTTCTCGTAGACAAAAGCACTAGTTTTAGAAGTACTGTTACTATAGTAGTAATTTTAAGAAATATGATTGGGAGGTTATTGGAAGTGTTTATAACATAAGTCAGTTAAATTGACTGTTTTCCTGAAGTATTTAATGAATTTGAATCCAGATGGTAAGTAAACAGCGATGGTATTATTAACTAATTCAAATAAAGTCGTTGTTCACTGAAAATTTCAAAATTTTTTTATATTGAAATACATTAACTATAAAATAAATGTAGGTCTGATGATTGGGAATGTTCTTCAACTACTCCTTCAACTCCCCACACCCCTCTAAAATGAACCCTTCCTCATTTTATTCGTAACCCAAAATCAATAAATGGCATGTTTTGTACAACGTGTCACAAATTATTAAGATAGTTGAATTATTGAGATAGCAAACAAATAGTTGTTAACATATAACTGAACATTCAATACCATCAAGAATCTCAGTAGAAAATGTAGTTAGTGCTACATTTAAATTGATTTGAGTTTGTACCAATATTGCACAATATTTCAAAAATTTTCAAGTCGAGTTGAGTAAGACAATGGTAAGGCAAGGTTGGCTTCAGCCAATCAGAATTCAGCTTTTGTCAGAATGCTCTACCAGCTGATCTTCCGTGTATAAATGCCCGGTGACCACGTGTCTCGGTAATCGTTGCTGTTTAATCTGTAATTAGTTAAATCTTTCAGTTGTGCCTTTTTATGCAACGTATTTGTCCGAATTGGGTGAGTAAATTTACTTTAATTATAATTAGACCTAAATAATCTTGCCTTGCCAACCTATGCGATCATTTAAAATAATTAAAACCTTTTGTAAAAAAAAGTAAAACCTTAGAACTTGCCCAAACATAAAAGTTCAATTTTGTTTAATTATGTATTGTAAATAAATTAGGCTTTAAAAGAATATTTAAAAAGAAAATATTATGTTAAAGATCTAGAGAATATCAAATCAATTGTTTGTTTTTAGGGTTTTTATTCTTATAGCCTACTTCTATTTTGGTACGAACTAATGTATTTGGAAATGAGGATTTAATAAACCGAAGTACTGTGTGTCATTATATTTTTGTGTGAAGAAGTTCTTATTTGATAAATCCCTATGAAGAATATTTTATTTTAAAATTTTAAATTGTATTTCAAAGTGGGAACAGTCGGTACAATTTCAATTCAAATAATTTCACACCGGTGTCTTGCAACCAACAACATTTTAGATTTAATACAGTTTTTACTAAGAAATACCTTAAACTCAATAAAAGTAGGTAATTAGATTAATAAATAAACAACTATGACAGCACGTTAGGCACTGGGGACAGACTTGCAATTGCCAACAAACTTTAGCTTTGCTCGAACATCAAAGTCAAAGTCAACATTGAAAGAGCCCAGTTAACTGCCATCATAACAAGGTCAACATTCAAAAGGGGCGTTTTCCTTTGCTCATAGCTTTGTATTATATTTGAAATTAACTCTAGCAAAATATTATCAAAATCGCAATAGTATATTTCATTACTAGGACCGAAAGTGGCATTTTTCGACGCGCGCTTAAGTTTCAAGTGTGAGGAAAATCCGAGAATGTGAGATTTATTTTCACGTACGAGGCGAAGCCGAGGGCGGGAATAATGGAGCAAGTGTTGGAACATATCTTTCGTTACGAGTTATGAACGATACTTTTCATCACGACGAAAAAATACACACATACAGAATAACATATATCAGTAGTATTAAACTAGTTTTAGACTACTCTTTATCATTGAAAATACACTTCACAACGAACATATTATATGGTTTCAAAATTGTAGATTGTTTCGTTAAATATATTAATAAATACTTCGTCATTTACTTTAATTGACTTAACATTTTGTAATTTGTACCTCCAGCTTTTAAGTTTTCTGTATTCCTCTTCTTATCTTTCCCGTGATATATCTAGTGGAAAGTGATTAGTTGCCTCTGAAGCTGTTTTCATCAAATCATCAGTAATGTTAGACATACTTTGAGCAATTTAAAACATGCACTCTGCTAAAAACACAGCAATACAAACTAATACTTGTTTCCGTATAGATTTAGATTGTGCAACAATAAAAACAGCTGATTTAAATCATTAAAACAAACCTAACAAAACCCATAGTACATAAATTAAGAACTAATTGAGAGCGAGGGAAATTAAATTTAGAGCAAGGGAAAATCAGCTAATCGTTATTCCCTCGCTCTAAAACAGATCTTGGGAAACAACTACTTTCTTCCAAATCAGCTGTTATCGAAAATAAATACTTTCAGTAAGGAGTGATGTAATAGCTATTTATCTTAAGTGTAATAAGGGTGTTTTAAGTGATTTCACGCTCTTGCGTAACGTGTAACGTACAAGATT